TGTGTGATATAAAGTAGTGTACATACCTAAGATGTGATATCATGAGATTTGACATCATGTAACTTTCATCAGGAATAATACAAGTTTGTGCAAAATATTGGAGCTTATTATTGTTTGGACCACGGTCTTCAGACACAATAAATGAGACAAATTCTCTGTAAAAAGAAAACATAGCGTAACTATTGTAACCTTGTCTATTGAAAACCTAGATTAAATAAAGGTATGGATAAGCAGCAAACTAACGATTTAATTTTTGTTTTTTCATGGAGAAGGTGAATATGAAAGTTCTGAAACAATGCAATAATATTAAATTATCTAAGTATATTAAATGGAAAATACGGGCTAAAAAAGACAATTAATTAATATCTATATTCGTAAAATAATATACTGTATTAACCTCAATGTTCCTCATAGAATAATATAATTTGAATTGGATGAAAGTTCCTGAAAAATAATGATTCAGCAACATATCTAAGAAAAATCAGCAAGAAAAATACTAGACAATGTGTTCCTGAATTAATACTACATATACTATATTAATCTACATGTACCTTATAAAATAATATAGCACAAATTGTAAAAAAGTTCCCAAATAATAGTGCATTTAAGCAAAATAAAATACTAGCCAGATTTGAAAAAGGTGGGAAACACTGCACTTGTCACTTTTTTTTTTATATATACTTAACATTTTGGTTTACTAGACTTATCTAACAGACCGATCTTGGAGACTATATTACTGTCATTAAATTCTCTTTAACAGCAGTATAAATGTCTTCATTTCAGCAAATTTTACCCCAAATCTTGACTAGTTACATCAAAATTAAACCTGGTTGACATTTGATAGCGATTGACAAGATTCCGAAATTTGACAATTTTAAGTGACATTTAAATATATATAAAACATGTACCATAATCAGACTTGGCTGAGGTTCCAAACTGGTTAATATCCAAGTTTGTCACAAGAAAGTTTTATGACAGAGTCAATGACAACAGCAACAACAAGGACAGACATTTCCTCTCCTATATCTTGTCTATCATCTATAGTGATTAGACAAGGTAAAAAATAGTTTTGAAAAGTAAGGGAGCTACACATACAATCTTGCAACACTCCCACATGCTACACTATTTACTGAATATGAATATTCTAAAAAAAATTAAAAAAAATAAATACCATTTTTAGAAAATTCTGTGATTTATATTGCATATACACTAACTGTAGAATGCAATTTTACTGGTGATGGTGACCGATCCTAGAGATTGTTCTACTCCATACAGTTAAATTTCACTTGGTTTAATAGCCATGCAAACAATAAATTAAATTGAAAAAGTTATCCAAATTTTGAAAAACACTCTAAAGCAACTTAATACATAGTAGGACCAATAGTGTTTTAAACAAAAGAGAGAAATACATTTCAAGGCATTTTACACTTGGTCTATATTAGAGCATGACAATGATAATTTGAAGTTGCAATGTGAGTTTATTTTGTTTTTAGCTAAAACACACCTCACCTCACCTCACCAAATAGCCATAATCCGCCACCCTACCCCCATCTCCAGCCCTCCCCCGCCTACACACACACACCCACCTACCTACAGTGTTATGAACAGTATACCATTCTTATATCATAAAACAGTACACACACAGATGTCATTTTACATTGCACTCTTGATATAAAGTGTCTGTCAATGTTTCGAATGTAGTGTATAAAAATAAACATGCCATGATTGTCTTGTCATAAGCTTCGTCTTTCAACAAGGGTCATTCAGGGGTCATAACATGATAAAGCATTGAAATGAGTGGATGTATAGTAATATCATCGTTTGATAACCATGATTTCTTTAAATAAAGATACCGGGTACTAGCTGTTCACTGAAGTATTGACAACAAACAGCTTTGACAGTTATAATGTACATTCCAAGTAACTAGAAACTCACATATTCAACCAACCGAAATCAGTATGCACAGATGACGCACCCATTATTGTTACCATGACTACGCAGTAAAGACAACATCCCTGCCACATCACATAATCAAATGTCATGGAAGTGATCAGAACAAATTGTGACACTTTCTACAAAGAAGAAATACTGAGTCAATTAGTCAACAAACCACAATTGTAAAAATGTGAAACCATTAACCAGCAGACCCATTAGTTTAATAATATCTCCATGGAAACACAACAAAAGTAGTAGGACTCGTATTACTTCCTAAGTTTCTAGATATTATGAAATACTGTCACCATGGAAACCATACAATTGTATTTTTTCATTTTCTGTATGCCGATAGCCAATATTTTGAATAAGAAAAAATAAAAAAAAAATAGAATAATTTTCAAATATGGTCAGAACCTCAAAATCAGAAGTTGATGCGCATTCAACCTACCTTGCATATACCCCCCACTGAGATGCACTATGCATATCTGCCCACTGAGGGCGCTCTCCTCTATAGGATGCATTGTAAACATGGGCATCGCAGCTATACCAGTCGGTGAAGTCGGTGACTTTTGGTACCCGATCTCGCCACCTTCCATTCTTTCTAAGAAATGTGTGACCTGTAAACAAAAGATGAGCCAAGTGACATTCATTTTGGAATTAATCATTTTTGGGGAGTAATACAACGATGAAATGGAAATTATTCACAGGGTTTTAATTTTTTCTTATTTCGCTGACTGGAAAATGCGCTAAATTAAAACCCACTGAATATGTAAAATTTAGCATAGAACACATTATCTAAATGATAAAACCATGAATTTAAAACCCACTGAATATGCCTGAAATGGTAAATCAGCGAAATTTAAACCCAGCGAAAATTAGTCATTTCACAGTAATAACAGAACATGTCTATATATATATAAATATTAGTGTACTTCCATGAAAGAGGAAATTTTGATCCACATTATTCACAAAACTATTTTTTTTTTGTACCAGATGTTCCATGATGAACAGAACAGGTGCAGCATTATG